GACATCGGTCGCATTTCAATGACATAAAAATCGCATGAAATGCGACCTGGCCGTTCAGACTGAAGTCGCAAAACATCGGATACGTATCCAATTTAGGACCACATATGAAAGTGGCCTGGGTCGGATTTGAAAAAATCGGATTTGTGCTGTTCACACTGTCATAAGGAAATCGGATATGGGTCGCATTTGGGCAAAAAGATCGGATTTGAGTCACTTCACCCTGCAGTGTGAACGAGGTCTAAGTCCACAGAGCATTTTTGCTGATAATGAGGGTCAAAATAAACTGAATGCAATCAGTAGTAGCAGTACATATTATAATGATAATAGTTATACTTATAAACAACTGTATTTAAGTTTTGGGTTTGTTTCAGGTAGAAGTGGGAGCATTACGGTCTTGCTTGAATCTGTTGTAGTATACCATAAAAGTATTTTTTTTTACATGCCAAAAATTACAATTTTGCTGTATTATTCACTTTTCAAATAGTTTGTTCACTGCACATCTTCTCTCTCATCAAGACAGAGAAGAGGTGGACACGGCTGACAGAAAGACATTCAGACACATTCTGTAGCCTCCATTTCTATCAAATTCAGCTTACTAAAAATATCATCACAGAAGTGAGAACCTGTTTTTGGGTTACAGTCAGTGTTTATAGGTCTGTTTTCACAAAGAAGTTTCATCTTGGAGAAGGAAAAAGCACTAAAACCATCTGGCTGTGACCTTTCTACCACAGAGGCTTCATACAGCTGCTGCTCCCCCATGACTGGGCATTCAGAAATCAAATAGAGCAAGAAACAGGTCCGACCGTGTCATTGAGGAGGAAGATCTAAAAATTACATAATGGCAGCCACAGTCTTCATCTAAGCAACAAAATCAATGTTTAAATGTCTGACCACCTTAAAACTATGAGCACATTTCATGAAAAGTGATTACAGCATTATTATATAATAAATTATTGTGACTGAGACAGAGTACACAGTGACTTAAAACATATTACTGACAAATTTCAGTTTTATTAGCCTATAACTACACTGAAATGTCAAATCATGAATCACTCGCAGAGTCATAGCTGTGACAAAAGTCTGCACCACAGGAAGTATCCAGTGTTATTTAAGTAAAAGCAGTTATTTGCAACGAAGTTGTGTATTATTATAAGAAAATATCACACAGCTACCCAATGTTTTGTATCATAGTAGTGCAGTATATATTAATACCTGCTTTAAAAACTGGCCGACTCTTATGACTTTTTCACTGAGTGAGTTTGAAGCTCTGATTGGGTCAGTAAAATCTGGCAACACTGAATACAGCACGTCACATACAGTCAGTCCACGCTTTGTTTTATATTTTGGGAAATATGCTCATTTACTTTCTTGCTGAGAGAGAGATGAGACGATACATAACACTGCTAAAGCAATACATTAACTGTACAATTGGAGCAGGGAGCCAACTAACTTAGCATAAAGACTAGGAGCAAGCAACCAACCAACACATATAAAGTTCAGCAATTAACACATTTGTTTCATCTGTACAAAACCAGAATGTGCTGGTAGGCATGTTTGAACTTTTTCCCCCTGCCTGCACTGCTAAGCTAAGCTACTGTAACCGAATCTCTGGCTCCGTACACACACATGCAATATACACACAGGAGTGATGTCGATCTTATTTTCTAACTCTCACAAAGAGAGTGAATACATGTCAAACTGTTCCACTGAAATAACAAGTTATGGTTTTCTAGGGGCTGAAAGTGTTTTAAATAGCTTTGCTTAGAGAAGAAAATAAGCTGATGCTTTTGATTTTGGTCTGAACAGAAACTGTAGTGGAAGCGTTAATCTAGAATAGTTTGCCTGACAGTTTGTCACTTTATGTGGAGATGAAGTTTTTGAATGTTACCCAGCAGTTTATCTAGATAGTTTAAAATCAAATGACATACATTTTAGCCTGCTGACAATGAAAACAATGAGGTGCTGAGTCATTAGCTTTGTGATTTAAACATATTGTACTAATCCCACGTGGAAAATAGTATTTATTTTCTTAAACAGTTTGTGGAAAAAACATTTTGTTTGAAGTTGCTTATATTGGAATATTTGTCATTTTAGCCATAAACTGAATAAATTGCAGAACTGGTAATATTTGTAAAGTATATTTTCAACCTTCACTTTGACACAACCTATGAATATTTTTGTGGTGTTCTCTCATTATGCAACTGGTTATATTTATAGTGTAAATTCACAGTTCTCTTTTGGGCTATTTATAACAGGAACAGAACCTGATCTGATTATTTTCATCTGAAAATGTGTAAAAAAGGTCAAATGTGTTTCAGCCAAAAACCTGACGTTGTGTCCAACAACAAAGATCTCACGTGTAGAGGTTGCATCCAATTACATTTTTTTTTTTTTAACAATACTGTATATATGGCCCTAAAATGAGATGTAGATGCACTCTAAAATTCATCCTATAAAGGCATGTGCAGTTCTGTGCTGTAACATAAACCGTGAAATAAATGGAAAAGCTACCGAGGACTTTTACAGAACTGCGCTGCCTTTTCATTACATTAACCCTAATATTATCCCTGTTCTTACCTTTTATTTCTCCTGAGAAGCATGCAACACTGTGCCTTCATAATATTGCCCCATACTCCTTGCAGTGAGAAAAACAACATTTAACACAGAGCTATTTTTGTGGTCAGCTCTAGAAAGCTGCCTAGCTATAAAACCCTACACACATTACACTGTACTGTATATGCAGAAATTATATTGCAATGTTTAGATTCTTAATAAAGAGAAGTGTGAATTTGCTGTAAAGTTTATGTAATATGCACTCCGTGGTCACATGTCACGTGATGAGAAATTTCACTTTCAAGCACAATGGGAACTATTTATGAATTGTGACATACTGTAATATTCATAATAAATATTTTATACATACTGTACCATGTCTGCATCCATTCTGTGCTGAGAAATGTCAGGCTTTGTGTTTCAGCTCCCTGCTAAGGATAAGGGCACTTCTCTAAGAAGGTGTAACTCAGCAGGTGTTTTCTCCTGCTGATCTTCTTACAACAGATAAACCTCAGAGTTTTGTGCTCATTTAAGAGGATTCCTCACTGAACCCCACTCACACTGATCCTACTTAGTGCCACAGATGTAATAATCCCAAGGAACTAATGGAACCAGAACAACAGAGTCTAGATTACACAATACTTTAATACCTTTAAAATTATTCAGAGCTCCTTCAAAAGATTAAAAAAGGCTGTTTTTAATACTTCCTGAAAAGTTGACAATTTCCAGGAGTTCTGACTTGATTTTGAAAAAGGCTTGAATCAGTTTCTCAGTGTACAGGTGAAAAAAAGAACAGTGATTCACTGTAGCTTATTGGGTAGAAAACGTGCCTTCAACACAGCAAAGGCTGCTATTAGACATTTCTTTGAAATTACAGCACTGTTAGAAAAATTCTCTTACAGTTTGTTGACAATTTAAGTGCACACAAAGTAGAGGGAAAACCTTCTGCTTAGAAAGAGTGAGCACTGATCCTTTTAAGTCTTACCTCTGACAGATTTTGCCCAGTCTTGCAGGTTGTGGAAAGTGGCTGCTCAGCTTCACTTCAGCCAGGTTTGGACCAGTTCAGTGGCTTCGAGCCAGCTTCGCCACAGAGACTCTGGCTGGTGAAGATAAGGTGCTGGACTCAGCAGGCTGTTCTGGCCCTCCAGTAGCAGGGGTTCTCACTCCGATACCAAGTCAAGGTGACTCATGGTGGGTGAGAAGTCCACTCAAGTCCAATCTGAGCAAAGCAGTATAGAAACGCCAGCATAGGAGGGGCCATAGTAGACCAGCCTGAAATTAACAGAGAACTAATACCTTAACAAGAAATACTAAGATTTTTAAAAAACGAGGCAAATGAAGATTATTTAGCAGATTCAGTGCACACTGTCAGAATCAGGGCCCAGGTTCCTTAACAAATACTGATTAAATTCAAACTTAAAAGTGACTGCTACTGTGTGTCCTGATGCTTTACAATCTCACTACCACAAGAAATGCATTCTTTTGAGGGCGTGAGTAATAGTGTGGTCAGTTCTCTCTGCCATACTGTGTTGTTACGCTTATTCTCTTTTCTATTTATGGCTGCTGCTTAGAGGGTCCAGCAGGCAGGTAAGGACAGTTGTCTGCACCTCCTCCCCAACTGGCTTGTCTCCAGATTATCTCACAAACCTGCACCTGCACCCACAATGCTTTTCAATGGTCTATTCTTTTCTATTCATGTCAAAATGTAATTCACACGCACACACAGGCTGCTTTAAGCACAGCTGTACTGTCAGTTTCCTGTCTATGGAAGAGAAAGGTTACACAGGCTAAGGCCAGAAAAGCAATATTTTGGTGAAAATATTTTTGTAGTAGTTTTGTGCACAAAATCATAACATGCAGAAAATTAGCATATTGTTTGCCTTTGTTTTTAAGAAGAGTGAGTAAGTGCCATGCAATTATTAATGCTCCTTTAATCACAGACAAAATGTGAACCATTTTTAAGCTCACTTATGAAATATTATGCATTTCTGATATGTAAATAAATCATTCAGAGCCTTGTAGCCTGGAGCCCCGTGTACAGAATGAGCCAGCCTCGCCACCGTGCCAAGATGTCCCAGCGTTTTTGTCTTTGCGGGTATGTACATTTCATTAACACCCTCACTGTGAAATATATTCTCCGACCAAACACTCAGCCACTGCTGTGACCAACTTCAAACTGACAGAATGAAAAGCAGAACTTAAAGGAAGCGCACAATGAGTCATTTTGGCCATAACTGAGAAACGTGTTGGACAGAACAAGCTGTACTGTATTTAGATTGTTTGCTGAGTGAAAAAAAAAAAAACTCCATAACCTTTTGCCTTTAGTTGCATGTTACTGTGGTCCTAATCAACCACTGTTGCAATTACACCAGTTTCTTTTGCCCCTCTTGATTAACAGAGCTTGTACTTCAAATAAGGTGAAAAGGCCACTTGTAGAAAAGGTACTCAAAACTAAATATACATCTGCTTAGTGGTCAGAAGGACTGTGTTTCTCAGTAACTTGTAGGTTTAGCTCTTCTATTATCATTAAACAGAAACAAGGTATAACTCATTTTATAGCCATTCTTGGTGCACAGAGATTTTGGTCGGTCCCTGATTTTTCCTCTAGCACCACTGACATTTGGTTTAAAGTGAAATGTCTCAGCTATGAAAGACTAAGAGAACAGAAGTACAGTATAATTAGATTATCTGAAAAAAAAGTTACAGTAATGAAAACAACTGCAGCTAGGTACAATTCAATACATACAAATATAAAAGTACCGACTAATGACAAAGGTTTTATAAGGCACTTCTTACAGCCTTTACTTGAAACATAGTCATTAAAGTAGAAAAGGCTGTAAAGAGGTCAATAAAGTAGTATATTATGTGATGATTAATAGATTTGAATTAAGGAATCATTAGGATACATAATCTATACATCTATAAAAAAGTTGCCATCCTCTGCTAAACTGTTCCCAGTTCTTTGGTAATACTGTCTGGACAACCTTGTAAATACACCAGTCAGTCCCAACATTAAATCCACCAGGTGGTTTTAATGTTGTGGTAATCTATACATCTATGTATGACGTGGGAAAAGTGTATGACGTGGTCTATTTAAATATTTTAGGTAAGCATCAGGTGCTGATGTTTTATTTTTAGCACTTTAATGGTCTGAATGATTCACCACAGAAGCTAACTGAGATTCTCAGTTGTTTCTAGTTCTTACTCCGAATAATTCATAACTGAAACAGTTTTTCCAAACACCCTGTTCTTATTTTTAGATTTCTCTTACCAGCTACCAGCAGCAAGCAGCTGTTTTCTGCAAAGAAGTTCTGTTAAAGATACTGAACACTAGTTGGTCAGCATCAAATAGCGGACAGACAAGGTTAGCAACTACCTGGTGAACATAATGGAGCATTTACTGCAGCAGCTGAAGAGCCAGATATTTCCCTCAGGAGTTAAACAACAACAAAGACAGAGAAATAGAGCTACAAGGAGAGTAAATATTGGATTTAAGTTTGTTGGGTGGCCAGAACTCCAGACTCCTTTGGTGTTTTCAGCTTTGTCCACTGCCCCAAAGTTGCTCAATAATCAATTAATCCTGCTTTAAAATAAATAAACTAAGCATTTTAATTCTACATTAATTAATTATGCAATGACATATAAACACTGGCCTGAGCTCTCGACACTGACTCTGTGCCCCACAACCAGCGGGTGCAGCTCACACTGCTTATCATGTGTAGACAGGCATCAGGAGGGCCTGCCATCTTGCTTTAGGTACCAAATGAGATAAATAAAGACACAGGGAACAAAACAGGGAATGGCACAACCATCAAGCAGATGTCTCTCCATTTGGGTGAGTCTGCCCATGCAGATGCATAAAACGCCTCATATAACAGCCTGACTATCCACTGAAAATCCTGCTAACTCTACAAATGCACTGAACAGCAGCATTTTTAATCATGGTATTATATTTTATTCATGATTTTGTTTTCATCTGAGCTGGCCTCTAACTGTTGCTTGAGACCTATTCTCTTCAGCCACCTCTGGAGAAGAATGTGTGGTGTCCTAATATTTAACCTAACTGTAGAACTACATGTATAGGACCACATAACTGATTGGAAACTAATTTATAATTGCTAGCTGAAACAGTCCTTGAAAATAAACACAAATCCTATTGAGTGAATGCTGTACAGTAAAAGACAATTCACCTTGAATGAAGACCCGCTTCCAGAAGACTTCACCAACATGTATCCCACCGAGGAACACTAGATTAGAGAGGATGAGCATGGCAGTAGAGAAGGCAGAGAGAAAGGCAATGCAACGCCTCTTCATCACTGCAGAGAAATTCTGCTCCTGGAAAATCAGTTAATAAATAAGTCAAGTGCAGAAGAGCTGCAAGAAATCTTCATCATAAATCAGAGAAACAAAGCACAGCACAGCACCCAGCACCAATGAACTGTGAAACCATAATTTAGGATTATCACACAGTATGCTGTCAGCCTTTGTTTTGAGAACATGAACCTTCTCCCAAAGTTAGAGGCCAAATAAGACAGAATATCCAGAACATCTCTAACATTACCGTGCTGGAATCAGACTTTCATTCACATTAATGTTGCGCATTAACAAAATCCAACCAGTTCTGGCATTTTGTCGAATTAAATCAGGTCATGTGCCCTCTTTATTTCTGATTACAGGAGGAAAATGCTTTGACTTCAAACTTACAACAATGGAGTGAATAAACGAAGCAGCAAGGAGAGACTTCAGTCCGTTTTCCACCAGAACTCCAGCCCAGTTCATCAGGGCCCAGTACTGTAAGTAGTCGTGGCCTCCGTGCCAGAGGCAGACAAATCCAAACGCAAGGCCAGTGGATAAGAGCTTATAAAGAGGGCCGTGCCGTGAACCTCCCAGTGGCACGTAGATGTATCTGAAACATGAGCACATATAAAAAAAAAATGAATACAAAAATGCATTAAAATAAATAAAAATGTTATAACCATTTAAAAGACCTGCCCATGCCAAGGAAAAACAATGAGAAAATGATAAAAATAACAAATTTGTGTGAGTTTATTATTTTCACTATTTTTCTTTAGTAGGTCAGAGATATACTGCTGCCAAAACAGTGCAGATGAAAAGCTAAATATTTAAAAAAAAAAAAAAAAAGCTCCACAATGCACCAATGAACTGCAAAAAACACCTGTCATAGAAATGATCATCATGTTCATTGATTTTTAATCAAGTAAATGTTACTCTGATGTTCAGTGAAAAATTAGAGACACTCCAGGGAATATCAGTCCTGCCAAGATGTTAATGATGCTACAACTGGGTTAATGACTCCAAAGTGGTTTCTATGGTTCACGCCAACCCACTTTCTACGTCAAATTGACTTTTTTTTTTGGGTCCCTTCAGTTGCCTCTGCTTTGTTGTTTTGGTAGAGTTAAGTTTGATTTCAACATGTTTTATACTGTAAACAGTATATTTATTAAACAGTTATTATTTTCAATTTTTAATGCTGCTGTCTTGCCCAGGCATCCTTGTAAAAGAGGTTGTAAGCCTCAAGGGACTTTTTCCCTGGTTAAACAAAGGTTAAATAAATAATCTAGCACATAACTCATGCATGTCATTGTGCAATTGCTTAAATTAGATTACATAATATCCAGTATAAAAATAGCAGCCATATACTTAGCCCACTGATGTGAATAATGTCCCACTGATCACTAAGGAATGCAGCACATGCTTTTGAAGAAAAACAGCCTCAGATATTGAGAAACTCATGTCCCCGCTGTACTGAGAGCCCTCAAATACATCACTCCAACATGCTCAGAAACAAACATTGCATTCTGTCTAACGTTGCCGAGCCGAGAACTAATTATCTCAGCCACCTTGTGACTAATCAATGTTCCTGAAAGATGAGCCAGCATTTTCAGAGCCTTAAATAGAGCGGCCATCTCGGCCATACTGAGGGATGAAAGTAGGTGCAGAAACAGATGGAGAGGTGCCAGAGTGTAGAGCCAAAGCAAACCGAACACCTACACATATTGATGTTGATTAATTCTAAACAGATGTTAATCAAAATATGACATTTTATCTGAGTAATCAATGTGTTGTATAGCACCTGACTACTGCGAGTGGATGGCACAACAATATGCATACAGGCTCTTTAGACTGACAGTAGGAGTTAGACAAGTCTGGCAACAACAGTGTTATTGTTGGTTCCTAAGTTCTTACACAGACATACAGTGATCTTTCTTGCTTTAAGTGCAACTGAAAGAGTTAAAAAGAGCAGTTAAATGCAGAACCCCCCACCCACCCAGTGCATGGCCCCACACATTTATTTACAATTAAAATTTTCCAGGGGCTGAGCTCAAAGGTTCCTTCTCATAAGTCCTGTAGCTGCAGTACCGCCATCAAACAACCAGTGAGAGCTGTTCTGTTAGCCAATGACTGTGCTGTATGTGTGAAACGGAGAATCTGAGACAGCGGCGTACAGGCAGGGAAAACATGATCAAATGCATGCTATTCCAAAATATAAGGCCATAAAAACAATAGCTAGACCAATACATGAGCTACCATTTGATTTAGATTATGTGTCACATTTTCAGTAAGCATTCAAATCTGAATTAGTCTGTCCACCACTTGTGAAGTGCCTCTTACCTGATGAGCCATCGATACAGCCCCTCATCAAAGTGCCTGAGGGTCAACAAAAAAAAAATTATTTGAGTCACAAATTTACATAATAATATAAGTGAGTAAGAAGCACCTGAGCTTCACATAATCTGAGTCATGTGCATGAGCCATGTGTCTTTCTCATTAAGATTAGAGGAAGGAGTTTTTCCTCTCTGTCTATAAACTAGAGCTGTTATGTTAGCGATGACGGTGGACAGCTTTATGCATTCCATCGGAGTTGTCAGCGCAGTTCAGCTCAGCACACAGGCTGGATGGGAGCGAGTTCATGTCAGCACGCTAATCAATCCAGTCTACTTTAACCACTACACCAAACACACAGCCCTCCCTCTCAACTAACTGTGCTCTAGGTGTTCTTTAATTAATTTGATTATACAGTTTTATTAAACTTTTTTGTGTATTATGAGGTTTTCATGTTCAGTAATTGCAGGCTTGTTCTGTTTAAATCTTGTTCATTAGGCGGTTCATTAGGTTCGCCCAGCTAAAACTACTGCAGTCTAATATGAACTCTCCATCATTAAGGTGATCGTGTTTAGTTTGTGTTGAAATAATTTGAGAGGTGTTGATTCAACCATTGCTCCGAACACCTACATTGTTTCAGTGTCTTCAATTTATTTTTTATTTCTGAATGCCTTATTTTTTTTAAAGCACTTTGCAGTTGCCAATCTTGATAAATGGAATATTCAGATTATTCTGGAGGATGTTGTTTGTGCTGCTGCTGAACTGTTCTGCATTATACAGAGAGGTGTTTCTCCTATTTAGCCTAGCCTCGTTGAAATTAATAGCCTGAACAAGTAATAGAAACACCTGCCAGTATAATGCCCCACAAACTGCAGCCTCCAAAATGATCATACAGTTGAATCAACACCTCTCTTCATCAGTTTAAAAAGCTTAGTGTTTTCACCTTCAAAAGGCAGAACGTAATGCAGGACTATTATATCATCCTGCTTTAGGTATTAGCTGTCTAATATACTGGCAGCTAAGTGTACATTAAAGCATCTTTTGCAGTGCATTAGCCAGACATATTTTCCTTTGTCCTGAAGTTGTATGCCTCTTGGAGGACCTCAAAGTTAAATGGATAAATAAGTAAACACAAATTGCACTGGTACACACACTGTTTAGTGTTGCATATACCCGAATATCCTGAAATCTCCAACTTTGTAGTTTTAACTTTTTTATATTTGAAGTCTTGATGATTAAGGTGCTTTCCTCCCTTTGTAACAAGCACCGCAGCTGACCCCATTCAGCATAAAGCAGGCAGTCTTTTCTTTTGCTTTGTAACAACAGTGTTAAATGAGCATAATACATGTAGCAATCATCATCATATTCCATTTCATAATGTCCACTTTTGTGTAGAGGTGGGTGTGACAACTCAGCATGAGTTGTGTGTGTGACAACAAACCAATACAAAACCATGACTGGACCTGACAAATAAAGTGTTTTTAATTGTTTTACACTGTCATGCAGAACTTCAAAATATACTCATAACCTGGAATTTGATTGCCCTTAAAACTGACACACAGTTCTAATTACAGTATAAACCTACAAGAAAAGATTTTGTATGCAAATATATTGTCAGTGCCAGTGGACAAACTATTTTAATTTGAGTTTGAACAAATGATGTAATGTTCCTAGTGTGGAGGTGACCTACTGTTCTGATTGCTGGTAATGGCTGAAGATGACACAACTGACTGTGTCCAGGCTGAGTCTGATTGCCAAAGCTCAGTGAGCACTTGAAGCACTTGACACTAAATTTACCTTTTCCTCAAGGATACCAGGGGATGCTAGCTTTTCCAGCCACTGAAGTGTTAGGTGATGCCGATAGACCAATACAATACTGTATTATGTCAGTGATTTTAATTGGAGTTGGTTCCACACTATGACCTTACCGCCACATCCCTGTGAAACTGTACATGATGCTGACACAGCGAGGAAGCTTAGGGGGAACTAGTTTATCCAAAGTAGCTAGCATGGATGGGAGGCCAAACAGCACCAGGTACTTCACATAGAAGAACTGGACGAGGGCCAGGGCCAGACCACCTGCAACAGTGGGGAAGGAGGTGTTCAATTTTAATGATTAAGACACAGCTCCACAGTTTCCAAACACAGTTCCCAAACCCTGTGTGAAACTTCACATCACTTTCTTTTATACAGCCCATATTCACAAATTTACCTCAAAGAGATTTACAATCTGTACAGCATACCCCGCCCTCGACTTTAGACCCTGTTTCAATGGTATACACTACTGTAGACACAGTATGAAGACTTACCCAAGGCCCAAGGAGGAAGAATTTCTAAGTAGGTCTGATTAGACTGGATGGAGTGCATGTACATTACATGGATCATGTATTCTGCAAGGCACCACCACAGTATGATCCGTCCTGCTCTGAGCACCAAGTAACGAAAACCAAATTCACCCCTTTCACTCTCCTCAGCAGGCCTTCGCATCTGCAAGTGCAGAAAGTGAGCATGTTGCTAAGGGCTGCTGGGTGAATCTACCAAAAGAGCAAACCCCAGGACTGTAATAAAAGAGCTAACACACACTGTAGGAATAGGTACAAATCAACTAGACAGATGGGAGTGGAAGATATGAAAAAAAGCAGGTGTAAAATGATGCAGAAGTGACATAACATCTGACCAAGCAAATCATAACTATTGACTTGCATAACTGAAAAATTCAAACTACTGCCCTTTTGTAACTAGGCCACCACCACTGATATCTACTATGTTTTTAACGAGGTCACCTAAGATCACCTATACTTAGGAGCAGCAATCGGATTCATCCTCCTCCAGGCAATTTTAGACTAAATCAGTTGCTTTTCTTGGCACTCTTACCTTTTCAATGTAGTCTCTGTAAGTGATAATGGGTCCATTGTAGAAAAAAGGATGATAGAAGGTGTATGAAAACAACCAACAAAGCTGCATAATTCCACTGCGGTCCAGGGGACACCAGCAGTGCTCCAGGCTGAAGCTGATGAAGCGCAGACCACAGACAGCAACACTGAAGAGCAGCAGATAGTACTCCTCCTCAGTCTTATACCAGCCTCTCTGTGTAATACAGTGAGAAGGCCAATTATTTTTATCACATTCCTGGGAAATCCTCATATAAATAGTGACAGTTTGACACTAAACTTAGATCTGCTTTTTCACATCACTCTCTTTGAAATATGACAGATCAAAATGACAACATTAGCAAATTACCACATATAAAGAAAATCTGTCAACGCTCATCCCACATACTAATAAGCATATGCTTAAGGCAGATTTTAACGAGGTCTGCTGAACAGTACTGGGAATATTATTGCTTCCAAAGTCGTGCTTTAACACAAGAGCCTGTTGTATGCATTTGCATGGTTGTGTGGGGGTGAGCACAGGAGAGAAAGAGACACATTTTTAGAAGCATGCACAGGTCTATTTCACTTGTTAAATTCAAATTTCTAACCATTGTGATAGCTGCCTGATGCAACCATGACTGATGTGTCACATATTGTGAGGTAAACCAATGTTTTCATGCCACAGGTTTATAAGAGAATGCTATTCTAAATGTAATGAAATACAGTGGGCCAGTGTCCATAATAACTAATCAATGTAAAAATAAATGGAATTAGGTTCCAAAAGTCTGAATTACATTTTTCCTTTGTCTGAATTATCTATTGTGTTGTATTAAAGAAAGAGCAACTTAGTAAAATATCACAATGTTGTGCTTATTCTCTCATTTACAATTCATGTTTGACTGAGGGGAAGATAACAACTGTCTGTTAGTAAGTCTCCCTCTGTTTCTCCCTGGTAGCTATTTTTAAATGTTTGTAGGAAGAAACCTAACTTTCCTCATCTCCTAATCCTTAGGAAATACCCAAAAGAGGTTCTATAATATGAGTATTTCTGTAAATTCATTCAAATTTTATCCTGTGGTCTAGACACAAAGTGATAGAGCTCAGTAGACAAATAGCATAGTATCTTGCGCCCCCTTGTGTTTTTGAAAGGAAACAATAACATATGACTTGAAACACATTCAAATTTTAATAGCAAAAAAAACTTTAAAATGTATCTTTAATATTTCTTGGAAACATATTTTACTTGCCTGTTTTATACAGTTAATGCAAGATAAACACATCCTTCTAAAATCAAGAAGAAGTGAAGTGAAACTGTATACCAGGTGACACAGCCCACCTGAATCTCTTGAAGTGGTTGGATGTGAAGTGTGGAGAGCAGCAGCAGGTTACATGCCCACGACAGAGCAGGCTTTTGCAGCTGGGCCACTGAAAAGGACACGCCCAAATGTCCAAGCAGCACACTCACACCATTAATCCCCAATACGCTGCTGGCTGCCAAGAGGCCATATAGTGTGATTACAGGCACCCTAAGCTGTTGGAGAAACACAAAAATGTTTTGGATTACAATGTCTCCCATCTAGTAGCTAGATTCCACTTCAGCAGCCATTTCCTACCTTGGGGTAGAAGATGCTGGTCAGTCTCGATATCACACCATGACCAATCAGTGTCCACAGTAAAGACTTTTTAGCCCATTCAGTCCAGAAACTCCACTCAAAGTCACCTGGGTCCTGCCAAAAACAACTAACTTCACCAATGGTCTTTAAAACATACCTCAAGCCTGTTGAAAAGAGGCTCTGACTGGTGTGTTAAGGACCTAATTTTCACATAAATTAATATTCTTTCAAAAAACAAACAAATATAATTGAAACACTTTTTTGTTTCTGCCACACAAAATAACTTAAATTAGGACTATACACTATAGACTTTAGTGAGATGCAGCATTTGTTTGTTCAACCTTGGCTTTTAATCAGCAATTTCAACAATTAACTTACCCTTTTAAAACCCTTAAGAAGGCCTTTTTCCAACTGGAATTCTCTCTCTAATCCTGTTTCATGCTCTGAGGTACAAAACAGGAATTAACTTCATTATTCTTTACCTTTTTGTCTCAGTTCACTGATAAACTGTACATCTACCGTACCTTTGGAGAACCTGTGCAGTTGGTAGAAAGAGTACAGATGGGAGCCCAAGGACAGCACCCAGTAGGTAAGGATCTCTGTCCATGGCAGGGGCACCAACTGGGCCTCTGACTTGGATGTCATCAGGCAAAATCACTGTGGTCTAGTGCACCCAAGAAACACACACACACTTTAATCAGTTAAGCATCAAATGGGATAATACTGAAACTAACTTTGGCTCTATTTTTTCTATTCTATTTATTATCATACAAACATTAACAAAATTATACTTGGAGGGATTTCTTTATCATATAAAACCAGCAACATCATTACACTGTTAGAGACCCATGAAATTCAAAAATAAATTGACAAAATGTTGTGGTATTGTTAGCAACATCTGGGACACCACTGAACAATCGTGGCAGTGTACAACTAGTTGTCCATGGGATTCTGTAATAAGTCGACACTTTCACAAATATTATATTCCAAACTCATTGTCATGTTATAATGTACACTGCTATTGACAGAAATAGCAAATAATAACAAAGACCTCTCCAAGATTATTATGTATCATTTTCATCATAATGAATAAATGAAGCTATGTGGGGTGTTGTCAAATCGTCCTTTCATCCTTTTTATGCAAGAATTGTCAAACCTGACTAATACTAGAGCAGCATAAAAGAAATGGTACGTTTTTAACTAGCCTAATATAAATACAGGCCCTCATTCACCCTAAATCCTAAGAAAGTTTTTGTTTTACAAACTTCTTTAAAATTCATTTTGCTGTACAGATACTGACATCACAGAGCATACACAATTTTCTTGTTTTAATTCCCAGCCATATAGGAATCATGGAGGAAAGAATTTAAAATTGTACAAATTAGTTGACCCTGGATATAAAAAAAAAAGCTTTAT